CAGACCCCCCACTGCTGCATAGTCTGGACACTGGTGTCACCTGTGACCCCTTTCTCATGCTGTAAAGTCCATGTCTAACATGCACAGGTCCATACCTCCATTATCTCCTGTCACCCCCCAACCTGCCACCAGCCTCCCTGCCCTAGAACCGGCTCTGGCTCAATTTACCCCCCACCTGTCAGCCTCCACGCAGCACAGCTGCCAGACTGAGGCTCCAGAGAGAGTCGCGCAGGTCGATCGCTGTTAGAAGGTCCTGTCCCCACATCTTACTCAGAGACAAATGCAGCGCCCTGGTTATAAAACAGCATGTCACACACTCTTTACCTAAGTAAAGACACTTACCTTTTGAAAAGAGGTTTCCAGGTGGTTTTTCTTTTCCCTTTAAGATTTACTTTTTTTAAGGAACTCTCCTGCACTGCTGGTGGAAATGGAAACTAGCACAACCACTATGGAAAACTGGAGGTTCCTCAAACTGCTAACATGGAGCTTCCATATGACCTAGTATCTACCCAAAAGACACAAAAACACTGCTTCAAAAAGATACCTGCACCCCCATGTTTATTGCTGTTTTACTTACAATAGGAAAGACATGGAAACAGCCCTAATGCCCAAAAGTAGATGACTGGATTAAAAAGATGTGGTACATATACACAATGGAATATTACTCAGCAACCAAAAAGAAAACACATGCCTTTTGCAGTAACATGAATGGAGCTGGAAGGGATCATGCTTAGTGAGATAAGCCAGAAAGAAAAGGAAAAATACCGGATGATTTCACTCGTAGCAAGAGTATAAAGTAACAGGCAAGAAAACAATAATAATGAACAACTATATACCAGAGACATTTTATGGAGGTAGAATGAGGAATGGGATCAAAAATGGTGGAGGGAGGGAAGTGCACAGGACTATGGTGATGGGACATGCATGATTTGGTGATGGGAAGCCCAAGGGAATTGCAACTGAGGTGGGAAAAGACACAAGATGATGTAAAAATAAACTGTTATTTTAAAAATAGTAGGAAAAAAAAAAAGGCTTACTTATTTTTTTGTAGACCTGGGGAGTGGGCCAGAGGTACAGGGGGAGTGAGAGGATTCACCATTGACAGAGTGGGGAGAACAGGCAGATGGACTGAAAAACACTGCTGAGGAGAGCAGCAGGTAAGACAGGAGAGGTCAGCTGCACCATGTGGGTCAGCTCCCTGGCTGAGTT